TGCCAAGGCTTAAAGCAGCAACAACGCTACACATAAAAACTGATGATGGTGGAAAAATACACCGAAACGTATTTTGATTGATAAATAGAGACAATAAATGACTGAAACCCAGGAATGAATTTGATTTGGAATTGAAACACAGTCAGGTATATACAATGATTAATTGAAAAGTGATTCACGGCCAGAATAACAATATTCACTGTGGATGTAAAACGCAAAAAACTATTATTATGCTGTTTTTGCAATTTCTATGCAACAATAACCAACATGTTCGGATGACTTTCGTTATAATTATAGGGCAAAATTGCCGGAAACATTATGGCTGATTGAAAATATTGATGATGAATAAAATGATTTACTACAGGAACCGGAAACGGGATATAAAATCCTCATTTCGGTGTAGTTAAAATTTCATTATTGGTTACGACAATATGCAATTTTTGGGTACATTTCACCGACCAGCAATCGAATCCAAACGAAAAAATTAACTTGATATCATGATAAACAACTAATTATAAAGTCTTTAAAGTTCACTTATCAATCTGTATCTAATACAACTACCTACCGGTGTTATTTATCCGAAATTTAGATTTATGTACATTTGTGCTATTATGAATATGTATATTTTTTGAAAATGGAATATATGACATTTCAGGAAAAATGTCCAATTCACAGAACTGGCACCCCCAAAAGACATTGTATTTGCATGTTTACTTCGGTAAAGCTAGTTTTAATAAATACGCAAATAAATACAGAACGTATGTGGCATTACTAAATAAGTTACCTTCAGTTTTTAACCATTCTAAGTCCAATTCAAATGAAACGAATCAAAAGAATAAAAGCTGTTAAAAGCACATTAAGGATGTGATGGCTGCCATTTCTGAAGCACCATCCTACTTAGTTACAAACGCAACAACGTGGCCACCCTGTCTACAGATCGGTAAATGTCTAACGGTACGACTTAATGGCAATTAACCATGGGATAATTATTGGTGCCCTGTTGCCACAGGTAAAAATTCCCATTTGCTGAGTAAAAAGTCAAGGGGATTATTAATTTGTGCATTATTTGGTAAAATTTGCAACGGCCAGCGTCCAATTGTGGATTGTTACTTAAATAGACTAATATTATTTGATTCAAACATAAGCCTAATATGATAGTTATGGAATGACCCTAATAGCAGAAGTACTTGAACCAGTCAGATTTTACTTGGGGAACCTTTCGAAGAAAAAAATACCAAATATGGTTTATGGAACCGAAGCGCTTATAAGGCTAATACAAAACGGAACAAATAATGAAACATCGATAAAATGTTGTTTTAAAGGCCATTCGGATGATAGTAGCATTTGCGTATAGCGGTCATTAGGCGACAAGATTAGATAGCGGGTAATTTTCCTTGTAAATACTGGACTAAATCGGTTGATTTAGATGTGGGAAAGAAAAAATGAGGAAACAACACAAAGCTGTTTAGCACAATTGCGGCAATTTCATGTCGACTAAATTAAAAGCAGGAAATCGAAAGTGTGATACTTGTTTGGTTGAATGTCGCATTTGCATAATCGATAAATACCGACCAAAGAAGGCCAACGTGTTGCTGACCATCACTAGTAATCTACAGAATTCCCAAAACTTCCAGCATTTTACGTGAGCAAAGGCTTCAACAATTAGGCAGAGCTACTCATCCACCACTTTAATTTCTACCCGAATTTTGCATTGTGCTTTCTTTGAGGTTTATCCTATACCTGAGGATTGTACCTCCTTGAAAACGTACTTTTCAAAAATTAGGGGGGCTTGTTAGATCAAGGTTTTTTTGCTTAAAAGCCGATTGGTCTAAATCAATGCGAGAATAAATACTGCATACATACCATCGTGAAATTAGCCAAAGAACAGGAGAAAAATACTCTAACAGCTGGTACTGTCGCCACCTCGTTTTCCCGAAAACGTACTGTTCTCTAGATACACTTATTACAGCCGCGTTTCTCTCTAACTATGCTCAGGCGAATTTGTCCAAAAAGGCGCCAAAAATGCCCCGTTTTGTCACAATTTACCGCTGAGGTTGACACGTAGGTACAATCTTTCCGTGCGGTACGACCGGCAAACAGACCTGAATTTACCACGTGGATGCAGTTGCCTGGCGTTCTTGAAACTTGAAAAGAACGGAGCAGGCGTGCCGAGTACTTCAGATCAAGGCTACGATACATAATCATTGGAATTAGAAAGTAATGGTAGGGGTACTTCGAGCTCAGTCGAAATGTTTCAATGGAGCAGGAGAAAGATCGCTTGACATTTATTTAAAATTAAAAATCCATCATTGCATGAGGCACAAACGTTGCTAATGTTTTAAATGCACATACAGTTGAGTCCGGATATAACGAACTGGAAAAATGAACTAA